TTTTAAGAGAATAAGAATATAATTTAAAAAAAAAATAGAAATGATACTGAATTTCACTAAACAAAATAATAGGAATTCAACAATGATTGTGGGTTTTTTTTTCCTATAATTGGTACAGGGTCTTCAATAATGGTTATTATATCACATATTATCGTCTTCAAATTAGTTGTTCATTTTACCAGATATAAGCATGCAAAATTGGCCCAAAAAAGTTATTAAAAATTAAAAAGTAGAAAAAAATTTAAGTGCTAACTGTTCCTTTCAGTAGCCCAGCAGAAAGCAGCAGTACAGTTATCCAAGCGGGCCTGTCCAACTCTTGGTCAGCCTGCCTCAGCCTCTCAAGAACTGAGATTGTGAACATATACCTCCATGCCCAGCTTTTAATTATTTCTGAGTGTTGGTTTGATTCATAAACAATAAGGATTATTAAAAATAAAAATAATAAAAATATGGATTATTGATTAGTAAACGCATTAAAAATCCTACCACATCATACTGAGCTGTGCCAGTCTGACTTCTTTTTCACCTGTTCTAATCAGTCTACTAGATCACTTTAATCCTCAAACCAAGGAAATGAAAAAAGAATTTTTCTGAAATGGGGGTGCTTCCTTTGCACCTTAAATCTGTGCAGTAGGAAGAGTTTGATCTCAGAATGTATGATGAGAAAGACTCCTAAGCAAACACGCTGCAACAAGGGCAGGGAAGTTTTATTACCAACAGCCGGAGGCCCACTCAGCAGGGCTGGAGTTGCGGCGACACAGGAGGCCCAGCGGGAAGCTGGAGGCCAGCCTGGGCAATTCAGTGGAACACTGTCTCGAAATAAAAAGGGCCAGGGTTCCAGCTCAGTGGTCAGCTGCCAGCCTAGCAAGCACGAGGTCCTGCGTAGTCCGTCCACTCACATACAGGATGGCCAGAATTGTGGGTTTTTTAACTTTTATAAGATAATATAACCAGAAATACCAAATTATCAAATGTATTCAGTATAAAAAATGACTGCCAGGTCTGATGGTGCATGCCTGTAATTCCAGTATTTGGGAGGCTGAGGCAGGAGGATTGTGGTGAATTAAGCATCAGTCTGAGCTATGTAGTGAGTTCAAGACAAGCCTGATCTACATCTGGAGACTCTGTCTCAAGAGAACAAAATAAAAAAACACATGATTGGGGCCGGGGAGATGGCTCAGTAGAATAAGCGCTTCCCTGGCAAGTGCAAGGGCCTGAGTTCAAACCCCAGTTCCACAAACAAAAAACAAAAAAACCAATGTTGCAATAAATTTACTATTAAAATATTAAAAAAAAAAACAAACCCAGATGATTGATTGAAATGGACCTGCCCTAGGCCAGGAGGGAAACACTCCCTGGGGTGAACCATTAAGTGGTAATGCAACAACGGCACAGTTCTACCTCAGCCCAGCTGCAGAACTGAGGCCCAGATGTAAGTACTCTTAAAATATTTTGATTTAAGGGCTGGGGATGTAGATGAGCGGCACAGTGCCTGCCTGGCAAGCATGAGGTCATGAGTTCAATACCTGGCACCAGAAAAAAGAATTTGAAAATCTTTTGTGATAGCATTAACCAAAAGAACTAATAAAATAATATTTTCTACTCTTATTTTGTTTCTGAAACAAAACTGCATGGAGTCAATTAATGTGTATAATGACTTTCTCATTACTTTGTAAGCCATGTTTTGTTTCCAAATGGAGATTTTAGGAAAAAGTACCTGGTTATCTATGTGTAAATATATATTTGTTTTAGTGCAATATTTAAAAATATCCTATAGTATCTCTTTGTATTATCTCATTCGGTACAGTGAGACAGTATCTTGCCAATCTCTCAGGGTGACCTTGACCTCACTATGTAGCTCCGGACAGCCTCAGACAAAGGAGATCCCCCTGTCTCAGCCTCCTGCGTGCTGGGACTACAGACGTGTGCCTCCACACCTGGTCTATATTGAATTGAATGGAAAGTAGACGCACTCGTTCCTTTGGTGCCTACCCAGTGCTTTCTTGGAGCAGGCCAACAGATCTATAGCCTGAAAGCGTCACTGTCTCTGGAGCCACACTGTCCTTCGCACGGACAGTGCGAGTCAGCAGTCATTTGTAGCATACCATTTGGGGGCAAATGTAAAAATGAAAAAATTCAGATCACAGAACTGTGCACTCAGGTCCTTTTATGTAAAATGAAAAAACATGCGCTATACCAGATGTCAGCGCCAGCTCCAGGAGAGGTGCGATTACAGGTGACTTTTATTTCACTTACACTATTTTTCTTTTCTAATCTTAAATCCTAGCACACATCCAAAAGAGGAGAAGAGACAGCAGCTCTCCCGGAGCCTCGCACAGACTCTGCCTCTGCCGCTGCCTCTGCGTGGCACTGCGTCTCAGCGTGGGCTCCGGGTCTCAGCGTGGGCTCCGGGTCTCAGCGTGGGCTCCGCGTCTCAGTGTGGGCTCCGCAGGAGGAGCGTGAGGAGCAGGGCTGCGATGAGCACGCAGAGGGCGCACACCGTGGGCACCGCGATCTCCGAGGCCAGGTGCAGGTGATCGAGCAGGGGCTCTGCAGCGGTAAGAGAGTGGCAGAGAAGGCCGGAGGGAGACAGTGTCACGCTGGGCAGCCGTCCGGGGGACCTTGCGAGTGCAAATAGACACTGTGGCCAGAACCAGAGCTCTGCTAGAGCCCTTGTCTGGCAGGCACGAGGCCTTGCCTGCATCCCTAACAGATGAAAATTTTCTTTCCCCAGTGAAAATTGTGTGGTAGTTGTAAAATATTTTAGAAAATATAAGACGGGGCTTTCGCGGGGTTCTTGCACGGTGCTACAATAAAGTCTGGATTTGTGTCAGTTCTCCCGCTTCCCATGTGTGCACCCCAGCGTCGGCCCACGCCTTGCATGGCTCCTGTCCTCTCCGGGTGGGCATTTCATTTCCCACCTTTGACAGTGTTGTGTGTGGGAAGAAGAGGCGTGGGGTTAAGCACTGAGCCAGGACTGAGCACTTCACGAGGGCCCACTTTTAGGGGCGCCTGGTTCCTGAGGTAGGTCAAGCTCGGGCCGTGTTCTTACGGAGCTCAGAGGCTTCAGTAAATTCTGCATGAGAACCACTATAAGGTTATTTTGGTTCATTGGAATATATGCCATTCATATTGCCTCATTACTTAGTTTTGAGCATTTCTTGTTTTTTGGGTTTTTTTGCAGAACCAGGGATTGAACTCAGACCCTTATGCTTGCCAGGGAAGCGCTTATTCCACTGAGCCATCTCCCCAGCCCATTGGTGGGGGTGGGGGTTGAGACAGCACCTTGGTGTGTAGTTCAAGCTTCCCTTGAACTCACTACGTAGCCCAGGCTGTTCTCAAACCCATGATGAGTCTCCTGCTCAGCCTCCCAAGTGCTGGGATTACATGCATGTGCCAGTTTACAGCCTTGTTATTTAAATATGTGCAGACTGGTTTACTGGCCCATAAAAATTGCTAGACTTGGGCATGGTGGCACACACATAATCCCAGCACTGGGGAGGCTGAGGCAGGAGGATCCTTATGAGTTTTGAGACTGGCCTGGGCTACAAGGTGGGCTGAAGGCCAGCCTGAACTGCACAGTGAGCCTGTCTCAAAAAGACAAAAAAAAAAAAAAAAAAAAGTTGGAAGGATTTGGTCTAGTATTTTCTACAGTGGATATCGCATCAAAGATAGGTTTATTTATTTGGGATGTTTTTGTTTTGGTTTGATTTTTGCCTTTTGAGACAAGGTCTTGTGGAGTCCAGGCTGGTCTTGAACTCACTATGGCGCCCAGGCTGGCCCCGAGCTCATGCAGCACCCCTGCCCCCAGTGCTGGCATTAAAGGTGAGTGTCACCATACCCAGTTAAAGATGGGTTTGTTTAAAAAGGAAGTAATTTTTCTGATTGTCATTATAGAGAAAGATACAATTCAAAGAAATTGTGTCGTGGCTTTTTCTTTCAGTTGGGCCTTTCCACTGAGCTACATCCTCAGCCTTTATTTGGAGACAGCATCTCATCAAGTTCTAAGTTGCCTGGGCCGGGCTCAGACCTGAGGTCCCGCTGACTCTGCCCCCAGGGTGCTGAGGGCATAGGTGTGCACCACCAGGCCCCTTGTGTGGGCTCTGCCTGATGTCTGAGTGCATCCGGGTTATGGTACGCCTCTGGCCCCTGTGGACCACGCTGCATGGGGAACGATGCTGCTGCGGGCTGGGCAGCAAGTGGAAGAGCCGGTGTGGCTCTCCCTTCCCCTTTTCTCAAGCCCGCTTTACCCAGAGCTGTTGGCACGTGAAGGTGCAGTGTGATTCAGAAAGAACAAGATTAGTGTGATTTTTTTTTTTTTAAATTTTTTTTGAACATTTATTTAGTGTGTGTGTGTGTGTGTGTGTGTGTGTGTGTGTGTGGCCAGCTCAGCCCACCAGGGGGCGCGGCTGGCTGGCATGTGGTGCTGGGGGATCGAACCGCGGTCCCTATGCTTTTCCAAGCTTGTTCCAAATAGGTGCTTTAGACCACTGAGCCATCTCTCCAGCCCAGTGTGATATTTTTTTTGATGATGTATGTGTTCTTATATCTAACTTGAGAAAGAACAGTTTGACATTTTGTTTCACAGTAAAGGAAAAAATCCAGTTTTAACTATAAATGGTTAGAGGCACTGATTTCTAGTAGGTGCGTGTTTTGGGATTTTTGGTGGCATATAATACATCACATCATCAAGCTCATTCATCAGAGGAAAAGACAAGAATGTACTCACCGGCAGCTCGCAGCTGGTTGTTGACAGAGCAAGTTTCCAAGGCTTCCTGGTGCCAGCTTTGCACCTAATAAAGACCTTCTAGTTAGTGATGTTGGCTTGGGGTGACTGAAGTTAGTTTTTTGGTTTTTTTGAGACAGGGTCTGGCTATACAGTTCAGGTTGGACTTGAGCTCACTTTGTAGCTCAGCACAGGCTGGAATCAAACTTGGAACAATCTTGCCTCAGCCTCCAAAATGCTGGGATTACAGGTGTGCGCCACCATGCCCAGCCTTGAAGTTAGTTTTTAAATAAATATAGGATATAATAAATACTTTTTGCTAAGTGTGGTAGCCCCCACCTCAGTATTCATTTCTGTAAATAAGGGTGGCTGGATATGGTGGCACATGCCTCTCGTAGTACATGCACATAGTCCCAGCACCCAGGAGATTGAGGCAGGGAAATTTGAGGCCAGCTTGGGCTAACTAGTGAGTTCAAGACCACCCTGAACTACATGGGAGATCTTGCCTCAAAAGAAAAAAAAAAAAGGGCTGGAGAGATGGCTCAGTGGTCTAAAGCACCTACTTGGAACAAGCTTGGCAAAGCATAGGGACCGCCTTTCAATCCCCCAGCACCACATGCCAGCCAGCCCCGCCCCCTGGTGAGCTGAGCTGGCCACACACACACACACACACACACACACACACACACACACACACAATGAATAAATAAATAAATAAAAATTTAAAAAAAGAAAGAAAGAAATGAAGGCAGGCATGGTGGCACATGCCTGTAATCCTAGTACTTGGGAGGCTGACGCAGAAGGATTAAATGCTGGAGGCCAGCCTGGACTACATAGCAAGACCTTGTTTCTTTTCTTTTTTTTTTTTTTTTTTTTGGCAGAACCGAGAATTGAACCCAGGCCCTTGTGCTTGCCAGGCAAGCACTTACTCTACTGAGCCATCTCCCTGGCCCCTAAGACCTTCTTTCAGAAAATAAACCAATTAAAAGGTTACAGTCAGGATATATTTACTTTATTTAACTGTTGTTACTCTTTTGTTTTTTGAGACAAAGTCTCACTATATAGCCCAGGCTGACCTCCAGCCTGCAGCAGTCTTGCCTCAGCCTTCCCGGTGCGCTGACTCCAAGCTTGCACCACCTGCAGAGTGGCTGGTACATGCTTGCATTCAGGCACATCTGGAGTAACAGCTACCTTGAGGTCACTCTTTTTTTTTTCTTTTGTCTTTTGAGACAGGGCCTCACTATGTGGTTCAGGCTGGCCTTGAGCTCACTTTGTAGCCCAGGCTGGTCTTGAACTCACAATGATCCTCCTGCCTCGGTCTCCCCAGTGCTGGGATTACAGGCATGCGCCGCTATGCCCAGCAAGATCGCTCTTGTCTGCACCCTGCAGTTCCCTTGAGCAGTGCTCCTGCCCGGGCTGCAGTCATGTCTTTCACTGTGTGGGGCCAAGTCGAGGCTTTCAGGAAGGGAAGAGGACAGGTGCTCGCCAGGGGCTCTGTGCGCCTGGCATGCACAGCGCGGATAGTCCGTCCTACCTCTCTGGGCCCTGGAAACCCATTGGCCGCGATGATCTTCTTATAGAAGTGAGCCGAGGCCTTGGGGTAGCGAGGCTTGCTTCTGACGGTGAAGTCAACATGGTAGAGTCCGTATCTATCTGCGTAGCCCTTCTCCCATTCAAACTTATCCAGCAGAGACCAGCAAGTGTATCCTTTGACATTAGCACCGTCCTTTAGAGCTGTTGCATATTTTGATTGGAAAAATAAAACCGTAAAGGTAGCAGGAAAATCTTAGGAGATTTCAAAGCAAGTTTAAATTGATTGTTTTGCTATTAGAAGGCTGTGGTCTTGGGTCGGTTGTGTCTCACCTTTGAGCATTTCATTGATGTATTCCTTAAGGTATTGGATTCTCCACTCGTCACACAATTGTGTACAGTGTAATTTTTGAGCGGCTCCATTTTCTGTCACGTATATGGGAGGATTGCCATATTGAATCTAAAAGTCAGTTAGTGAATGATAGTGTAAAACATTCTGGCCTAGCTAGGTATAGTTACGCAAACCCATAATTCCAGGGCTTCGGAGGCTGAGGCAGGAGGATCACTGAGTTCAAGGCAAGCTTGGGCTACACAGTAAAACCCCATCTCAAAAAAAAAAAAAAATCAGATGTGCAGGCTTTCTGGGTCAGAGCTCACATGGCAACATGTATTAAAGGCTGCCGCGTGTCTTGTTTATTTTTAGAAACAGGCCTGGCTATGCATTTGAACTTCTGTAGCCCAGAATGGCCTCCTGCCTCAGCCTCCTGAGTGCTAGGGTTACAGGTGTGCTTTACCACACTCAGCTAAGGCTGCCAATTCAAATCATATATATAGATATAGATATATATAGACATGTATAGATATATATATATATATATATATATATAGATATATTTTTTTAATTTTATTATTTTTTCCCCCAGAACCAGGGATTGAACTGAGGCCCTTGTGCTTACCAAGCACTTATTCTACTGAGTTACCTCCCCGGCCCCTCAAGCATATTTTTGCATATACTCTGTGCTAGTTCATACATTTATTTAGAGATAAGTATAGCCAGGAAACAAGTTTATATGAAAGGATATTTTTAGTGAATAGGCTTGTGGGGAAATGCCTTCCGGTCCTGTTCTTTGCCGTGTGTTCCAGTCAGTGCAAAGGGAAGAGGGCAGCAGAGTTTCTGCTCATGCCCCCAGCGGACGCGGCCCTCTGGGGCCTGCCTCGAGCAGCTTCTGAAGGAGGTCTGGCCGCCCTGTCATTTACTTTCACAGGGCTGAGAGTGAGGCGCACCTGAGCAAAGTGGAGGAGCCTCCTGAACCCCCATGCCGCGGAACACAGGCCTTGAGACCCCAGAGCCAGCCAGTTTGGGTCAACGAGTTCCACCAAGTCGCGGTCATCCTGGTAGCTGGGCCCCCGGCGAGAAGGGTGGCTCTGCTCAGTGACATAGCGCGTGGTGAAGTGGCCCAGGCCCAGGAAGTCGGAGGTGCCTTTAATGTAGCGCTTCTCCTGGCGCGAGAACGCCGGCAGCCGCGACAGGTCCAGGCCCTGCTCCGTGCTCTTTCTTCCTGTGAGCACAATGGAGAATTTAACAAAGCCTGTAGCTTACAATCGCTTTATTGTTGTGTCTCTTGGTGAACTGGCCCGGTGACAGGAAAGCTGGACTGTGGGACTCACCTGCACAGGAAATTTATTTATTTATTTATTGGATATAGGGTGTCGCTATGCAGCTCGGACTCTTAGTGATCTTCCTGTCTCAGCTTCCCCAGTACTGGGATTACAGGCATGCACCACCACACCTGATTTCGGGGCTGGCATGGCATGTGATACGGGGGATCAAACCGGGGTCCTTGTGCTTGTCAGGCAGGCGCTTAGACCACTGAGCTATCTCCCCAGCCCTGGCCTTTCCTTCTGTTTGACTGATAGTTTTTGTTTTGTTATTCTTGTTTTGAGACAGGGTCTCCCTGTATATTTCAGCCCACTACAGTCCTCCTGCCTCAGCCCCTAGAGTTCTAGGATGTGGGCATGTACCTCAGACAGGAGATCGAGCGTGGTGAGGCTGGCTGGGGAGGCACATGTGACCTGTTAGCTACAAGGTCCTGGACGCGTCAGCAGAACAGTTCCCAAAAAGTTCTGCCTGTGGGCTTCTCACAAGACCCGAGCAAGTTTTCAGTAGGATGGCCTGGACCTGACACAGCCTGAGAGGTGGGGCCCAGTACCACAGCTCAGATCTGGACAGCGTAAAAGGACGCAAACACCTGGAAGAGCTTGCTCTGGTGGCTTTCCCTGTGATGGCCAGGGCTGGGGAGATAGCTCAGGAGATAAGCACTTGCCTGGTAAGTGCAAGGTCCTGAGTTCAATCCTCAGTACCGCAAAAAAAAAAAAAAAAACCTGAGAACTTTCCATAGCTCAGTTCTTTAAGTGGCTGCTTCCACAAAGCTGTCAGCCTCAGGTTGCTGTAGTTCATTCCCACGACTCTCCAGCCAGCCAAACCACGCCTGAGGGCATTCAGAGCAAAAAAAAACCCCTGTGATGGCCAGCTCCGTGCCCCTCCCCCAGGGTGTCTGTCTGTCTTGCCTTTTCCCAGTTTACTGGGCCCAAGCTCACTCTGCAGAACCAGGTTCTCCCTCCCTCTTTACTTTTACTTTTTCAAATAAACTCACCATTTTTCATTTAATTCTTTAAGAATTTGAAAACCAACTCCAAAGGAGACATGACAACCACAACTACCAGGAATGCTCATTTGGGGAACCATTGTTAGAAGACTACCCAGTAACCCCACCATGCCCAGCTAGCCTAAAGAAATATTTATTGTCTTTTTGAGACAAGGTCTCACTAGGCAATTCAGGCAGGCCTTAAGTCAGTTTGTAGCCCACGGTGGTCTCAAACTCTCAACAAGCCTCCTGCCTCAGCCTCTCCTCAGTGCTGGGATTATAGGTGTGCGCCACCACGCTTCGTTTAAGAAACAACTTTTAACTTATTATTTTTTGCAGCTGTGGGGATCAGCCCCAGGGCTTGCCACCTGCTAGACAAGTGCTGTACCACCAAGCTATGCCCCAGCCCTGGAATGAAAAATGGGGAGATGGATGTGTTTCAAATAATTTGCATGTTACACGTTACATAGTGTCTACATGTAACATACACGTAAAGTCTATTTAGACAAAATTAAAACAGGAAAAGTGGCCAGGCATTCCTGTAATGCCAGCCCTCAGGAGACTGAGGCAGAAAGACTGCTGTGAGTTTGGGGCCAGCCTGAAGTACACAGTAAAATCCTATCTCAAAAAGGCAAAAAACGGCATGGTGACGCTCGTCTGTAATCCCCGTCCTAGGGAGGCTGAGACAGGAGGATCACTGTAAGTCTCAGGTTCTGAGCTGCAAAACGAGACCCTGTACCAAATAAATAAAAAGATTTAAAAACTAATAAAATAAAAATAATAAATAATAAAACAACAAAACCCACAAGAAATGTGAGGTAGGAGGATCTCCCTGAGTTCAAGACCAGCCTGGGCTACACAGCAAGTGCCTGTCTCAAAAGGCCAGAGGGGTTTGTGTGTTAGCTCAGTTGTTTAAAGCACTTGCTTGGGCAAACTCTGGTGCAGGGGACCGTGGTTCAATCCCCGTTCCACGTGCCACACCAGACCCACCCTTACGGCAGCCTGAGCCAGCCAAAAAAATCCTCAGAAAGCCCGAAATGACAAGGAAATGTGATTTGCTCACCAATGCGATCCTTCATGACTTGGGGGTAGTCGCCGGCGTAGATGGGGTTGGCAAACCAGCCCAGACAGAACTGCAGGTACCGTTCAGCAGCCTCGATGTCGCTGGGGTCATTGATGTCTACCGGTTCCCCCCAGTCACAGTTCAGGGAAATCCCTACCAGGCCTTAACAGAGAAGGAGGCAGGAAGTGGCGGCACACAGCTTCCCCGCCACATGTCCCCCAGTACAGAGGTCTCGGCTTACCATGCTGCCGGCTGCGCCACCTACTGTCGTATGCATGCCAGGCTTGCGCGTGGGCCTGCAAGAGGAACGGGGTGTCTGGCTTGTTCGTTTCTTTTCCCCCCTCAACCTGGGGGGTCCTTCCTTTCCTTCCCTGCTCTAGAGATCCAACTTCACATGGATCATTTTTCCAAACCTGGCCTTGGTTATCCCAATCTGCAGCCTCCCTTTCTCCAACTTTCACTGACTTAACTTTCTTTGTACTGCAGAGGAAACGTGGTATGAATCTGCCACAAACCCCTCTGTCATTACGTACGGTTGCTAAGACTTTTACTCACATCTCACTCCTGTTTTTCTGTAGTTCTTTTCCCACAAGTGCCCAGTAAGGGAGGGACGAGAATGTCCGGGGGCCTCATGAGAAGTAGGGCTGAGGGTGCGCAGGCTGCCTGCTCCCCGTTCTGTACTGTGACCAGCAGACCTGCTTTCAAGCAGCATCTGAGCAGAAGAGAGCTGGGCCAGCAAGCTGCTCCCAGGCTCCTCCCTGGGCCTGGTTAAAAAGGCATTCACCAGCCCTCGGCCAGGCCTGAGTTAGAGTTCTGGGAGGGGCCCGGTGAAGTGTTTCCATGAAGCCTCCATGTGATTCTGACACTGTTTGAGAAAGGGTCTCGCTCTGTAGTCTAGACTGGCCCTGAATTCACTATGTAGCTCCGTGTCCTCAGACTTATAGAGACCCTTCTGCCTCATCATCCTGACTGCTGGATTATCGGTATGTGCCCCAGTGCCTGGCACGATTCTGACCCCTTCTGACCAGCACTGACTTAAACAACTGATTGTCTCTTGGGTACAGGAGCTGGGGGTGCTGTGACTCCTTAGTGATCCCCTTCCTTCTGCCAGCCACCAGTAACCAACTTGAAAGGCGAAGCGAACCCTGAGGCTGTCTAATGACATGGACATCTCAACCACAGGGGAGTCACATCTATACAGCTCTCACAGTTACGGTCTGAGAAGTGACCTCCATGTTCAGTATTACAGATGTCTTTAGAGCTCTGGGCTCTCAACACTAAATATTCAGTTTAAGAAGTCTTAGGGTTTGAGAGCAGCCAGGACTACAAAGTGAGCTCAAGGGCCTTTCTGAACTGCATAGGGAGACCTTGTCTCAAAATGACCAAAAAAAAAAAAAAAAGAAAAATATCTCAAGCCAGCCTGAGGTGGTGGCGCATGCCTATAATCCCAGCACTTGAGAGGCTGAGACAGAAAAACGAGGCCAGCCCATCTCAGACAAAAGCTCTTAAAGCCAAATGGAGATAGTCCTCTCTCTGGTGTGACTCTGAGGGCCTGATGAGTCACCCGGCGGGCTCCTGGTGCCCAGTTCGAACACACTGACCGCCTTCTGCACGAAGCGTCGTGTCCGCAGTCATCACTGCAGAGCCACTTCCAGGCCCTGCGCGGAGTTGGCTCGTGGTTCTGTTTCCCAGCTGTGGCCGCAGTCCGGGGCCAGGTACTCCTCATCTCAGGGACCCCAGCCCTGTGCAGCTCATGGACATGCGGGACCCACTGGCCGCACTGGCTGAGGGCCGCTCACCTTGAGGATGTGGTGTGCTGCCTGGTACAGGCCAGTGCCGCGCAGCTGCAGGCCAGGCGCGTGCTCGCCTGTCTCATAGCCCTTTTCTACCATGGTCTGTGGGGACAGCAAATGGGGACAGCAGGACTGTGAGCTGTGCCGGGAGCACTTTGTCCCCCCCCACACCCGAGAGGCCCCCACGTACCCGAGGGTCACTGAATGTGATCCAGTGCTTCACACGGTCCCCAAAGGCCTCAAAGCACAGGTCAGCATAGTCCCGGAAGTAGCTGGCCATGCTGGCGTTCTGCCACCCACCAAATCGCCCCTGGAGCAGCTGCCAAGAGAGAGGCAGGTGCTTGGGGACACCTGCGGCCAGCAGCCACGTGTGCGGGAAGCACACGACTCCAGCATGGAGCATGTTTAGAGGGCCTTGCTCAAGGACAGGGAGCGAGGACTCTGGATGGGTTAGAGGCTTGCAAGAACTAAAGAGGAGCCAGGAACCTGGGGGTGCAGCCAATGGTGCAGCACACGCTTAGCATCAAAATAGAAAGAATAGGAAATGCCAGGCATGGTGATACATGCTTGTAATGCCAGCTGATAGGTTCTAGCCCGAGTACAGCCTGCTAAATTACGGCCTTGATTCAACATGGCTGAATACCAAAACAATAGTTTATCTTCCCAATGACCCCTTCCTCCTCCTTCCCCACTCCATCCTGGATACAACTTCCTTTTATTTTTCCCATGCACACAAGAGAGACCCCATTTAGCTCCTTCTGTGTCACTGAACCTGCCCCTCAAACTCCTCCCTAGCAAAAGTCCATAAAATCCCAGATTTCCTTTGTCTTAGGTCAGGGAATCTCCCACCTCCCTCAGATCCTCTCTGTGTCCTCAGAGTTAATAAAGCCCCCCCCCCCCATCTTTTACTTCTGCTTCTCTGCCCTGCTGGAAAAATCTCACCCCAGCCCTTCAGGAGGCTGAGGGAGGAGACTCCCAAGCTCAGAGCTAGCTTGCGTTTCCATTCCTCTCCCTAATGCCTGCCCTGTCTTCTGCCCCATCTGCTGCCCCAGGCCCTGTACTGAGACCCCTGTCCTGTCACCTGAGCTCAGCCCCAAGCCACCGCTGCAGCCACCGGGGGAGGGGGCAGTGACCTCTCCCTGAAGCCCCAATCCCCTCTGCCTTGTGGCCCGGAGCAGGGCCCTTGGCTTGGCTGTGCCTGCTGAGGGGCCTCACTAAGAGTGATGGCCTTACACCTGCTGAGAGGTCACTGCTGGGCCGGGAGCACTTGCGAAGGCATTTGGTACTGGCTCTGGAAGATGGGAGAGAGCACTAACATGTGGTACGCTGAGTCACCTAGTCCAGAGGTGTTTGAGGAAGCGAGAGTGGTCGGCTCTGTAGCCCTAGCCTAGTACCACAAGAAGGAAGATGTGTCTTTGTTGCTTTTTGATTTTTTTTTTGTTGTTATGCCAAATGGTCTGGACACCATCGGGATCCACATCCTTATCACAGGTCAACCAGTGTAACCTCCTTCTGTGGCTCGATGTCCCTGACCCTGAACTTGGCTCCCGCTGCACCGGGGTTAAGGGCTGCACTTGGGTGGTGGTTAATTACGGAACTCCCTCCTCACGAAGGCGTTAGGTGCCATTGCCCTTTCTACCCCTCTGCCTTCTGCCACTGAGGACAAGTGTCCTTCCCTGCAGAGGACGGTCTTCAAGGCACAGTCTTGTGGCCAGAGACAGAGCCTCACCCTGGGGAGCGGCCGTGGCCTTTGCAGCTTGGGGAACTGCAGAATAAATTTCTGTCCTTCCCAAGTCGCCAGGCACCACAGTGAGACGGCTAAGAGTGAGTTAGAATTCCCTCACCTGCTCACACGTGGTGTCCTGAGCCCACCCCAGACCCCCAGTGGCCCGCCCCTGCAAGGCTCACCTGCGGCAGGTCCCAGTGGTGCAAGGTCACGATGGGGGTGACATTGCTCCTCAGGAGGGCATCGATGAGGTCGCTGTAGAACTTGATCCCCTTCTCGTTCACCTGCTCGGCTGTGGGAGCAAAGAGGACCCCAGAGGGAAGGACCGTGGCCGCGCCTTCTGGGCGGCATCGCGGGGCCCCGGGTTTTGCAGGCCAGGCGGTAGGTGGCTCAGCCCCAGCACCCCAGCTGCCAGCCTGCGAGGTCGCTGCCCGGGACACGGTGGCATCTGTCTCCGGAGGACTCGCTCACCTCGGACGCCCGTGGGCAGCAGCCGGGGCCAGGACAGGGAGAATCGGTAGTGGCAGGCGCGCAGCTCCCTTAGCAGCAGGACGTCCTCCTGTGAGGGTGAGGCCAGGGCGGGTCAGCTGAGGCCCCAGGGAAGGAGCCCCTAGAGGCGCGGGCTCATGGCTCCCGTGGGCTCTGGGCCCCGTCTCCGCGTTACGAGCTGGGGTGCACCGCCTGCTCCCCCTTCATGCTGGGCCTGAGCCGAGAACAGGACATGGTGCGAATACGGACGTTCTGAGAAGGCCGTCGTGTTTCTCATAAGCATGGGTGATGAATCCCCCAAGATGATGTTAGTCCAAGAATAAAGAGGGAGCCGAGGCCGAGCAAGTCCCATTTCTCCACAGGGGACGATCTTCAGGCAGGAGCTAGGCCACCGTGCCCTGTGGGTCTTGGGGCAGTGCCGCTGACCTGGCACCCCCATTGCAGGGACTGAGGCTCTGCTTCAGCCCCCCACCCTTCCTCCAACATCCCGGCACCTGCCCTCGATGCACTGCACTGGGCCGACCACGCCCCTGGGCTCTGCACATGCGCCAGCGTCAGTGCATCCCTCGCTCACCTGGGCCATGAAGTAGCCGTTGCACGCCGAGTCTGCTGTCTCTTCCCCGAGCACCTGTCTCTTGCTGCTATGTGTGAAGGCGTCCCAGATGCTGGGCCCCTTCCCGTCCTGGTTCCAGGCTCCCTCCGTCTGGAAGGCGGAGCTGCCCACGCCCCAGGAGAAGCCTGCAGGTGGAGACTCCAAGCTGGACCCTGCCTGGGTGGCCCTGATGTGCAAGCGGGGACCCAGGGGCTGGGGCATGGGGCAGGGGCAGGGCTGAGCTCCTTACACCTCCCGCACACTTTCAGCTCTCATGGGGGCTATCTGTAGCGTTAGGAACCAAAAAACTTCTGTGAGGGAAGCTGGCCTTGGTGGCGCACTCCTGGGATCCCAGCACTCGGGAGGCTGAGCAGGAGGATCCCTGTGAGCTCCAGACCAGCCTGGGCTATACAGAGAGCTCAAGGCCAGCCTGAGCAGCATAGCGAGACCCTGTCTCAAAAAGACAACCAAAACTTCTGTGAGGAGCTATTGAAAGTTCATGTATTGATCCGTACTGGGATGTACACCCAGTGCCTAGGCAAGCTCTGTGCCCCTGAGCTGCAGCCCCAGCCCTTTCTCCTGAGACAGTGTCTTTCTGTGCGGCCCAAGGGGCTGAGATGACAGGTGTGCGCACCTAGGTTTTTGTTTTTCGTTTGAGAACAACCCCATGAAGGTATGGTTTTTGATAGCACAGAAGTAAACCAGTGAACTCCCTGGCGAGTCGGCCAATGCAAGCAGACCAGAGACACGGACAGACAGATGGACCGACAGACACTCAGCCGGAGGACAGCCCATGGAGGGGTGCTTACCAGGCGGGAAGGTCCCATAGTAGAAGGATGTCTCTCCTGGGGCCCCCTCTCCAGCAGCGCCCAGCCCCAAGAGCAGCAGAAGCGGCCACAAGAGGGTGGCAGCCTGCACTGGGCTCATGGCGCCAGACCCTCCTCCATACCTGCAAAAGGGATGCGTCCAATGCAGCCCCCAGGACAGGAGGAGGTGGCGCTGCAGGGGCCGAGTGGGTGCCGGGCCGAGTCCCGGATCGCCGCGCTGTGCCGCGGACAGAGCCGGGCTTGAGGACCTCCTGGGCTCAAGAGTGAGGCTTCGCTGTGGCCCTTCTTCTAGCTTGATAAGGGACAGTAGTGTCCCTGCAGCCCGACATTCACCCACCAGAGCAGGTTCCTGGGCTACTTCTCCTCAGCTGGGGTCACCCTCACTGTGGTCAGGATGACCCCTTCCCCCTAAGACCAACTCTGGTGCCAGTCTACCCACCTCACCCAGGCTTGTTGCCAGTTGTAGAGCAGCTACCAGCCAGGAGTGCTCTCTGACAGCCCCAACCTGGGCAGGCACTAACCCCCAGAGTGTGGAAGGCTCTGGTCGCAGCTGTGGCTGTCGCCTGATGCTCTGCAGAGAGTTTCAATGGTGGGGGTGGGGACAGAGTGCTGAGCTGGCCCACAGGGGCCCAGTCAGCAGGCTGCCTTGGCCCTGTGCCTCGCTTCCCCTGCTCAGCTGGCTGGGCCTTCCCCTGGACAGGGGACCCGCCAGCCTCCTCTCCAGCCCTTCCTCACCCCTTCTTGACTCCCCAAGGCTGCCACCTGCTGCTCTCACTGCCTTCCTCCAGCTGCCTCAGCCTCCAGCATCCCTGCCTTCCCCAGCCTCCTCTCTGCCTTTGGTCCTGGTCTCTCTCTGTCTCTCTGTCTCTCTGTCTCTCTGTCTCTCTGTCTCTCTGTCTCTCTGTCTCTGTCTCTGTCTCTCTCTCTCTGTCTCTCTCTCTCTCTCTCTCTCTCTCCCCTTTATCCCTCTTCCATGCTATAACTTTATTTTTTCAATTTCTTTCTATTAATCCATGTTTATTATTCATAATGTTTACATTAAAAAAAAGAAAAAAGCTGGTGTGATGGTGCACGCCTGTGATCCCAGCACATGGGAGGCTGAGGCAGGAGGGTCACTGTGAGTCTGAAGCAAGCCTGGGCTACAGAGTGAGACTTTTTGTCTCAAAAAAAAAAACCAAACCCAAACAAACAAACAAACAAACAAATAGGAAAGAGGGCACTAGATCTTTCCCAGATGGGAAGGGACCTAGAGGTGAAAGAAGGAGGGGAGGAGAGGAGGGACATAGAGTTCCAATTTTCTGCCCACTGATTCCTCGCTGCTCACCCGCAGGTCTCCCACAGTGGGGCCTTCTCCAGGAAGCCTTCTTGGACTCCCCCAATCCGGTCACACTAGCTAGCCCTGCATTTCAGTGGCAGCTGCGTCTGACCTCCCCCTCCTGACCTTGTTCCCCAGTGTCCCTGGTGCCCTCACAGCACTGGCACCCAGTGGGTGAGCTGAATCCCACACACTCGTTAGCCTCTGAGGGCTGCCCCTGCCTGGGCCTGCTTCCTCCCAATCGAGCCCTTGTGTGGTATCAGTGTCCCTCAGCCTCTGCTTCTGGCTCTGAGCTGAGCTGTCACCAGCTATTCCTCTGCCAGAGTGATACTCCGGCAGGGACCTAGGGAGGGACTTCCCTGGGGCTCAGCTCCCTGGGCTTCTGCTGGCAAATGAGTTCCAGGGGGCAAGGTCACAGTATGGGGACATGCCAGGGTAGGGCGACAGCAGGAAGCACCTGGCCCTCACTGTCACAGCCAGAAGGAGGGGCAGCACAAGCCCAGGTGCTCGGGGACCTGGGAGCAGAGGCTTCTGTCTTGCCTGTGGTGTCAGGTGTCAGAGGGCTGCGCGTCCCATCTGCACAGCACTGGCCACCTTGCCTGAGGACCAGTGTCCCCTCTGAGAAATGCCTGTGCAGGAGGGGGGGGGGGCGGGGAATGAGGGGTTGAGCAGAAGGAGCCTGGTATGCCCCCCCCCCCCGCGAGCTTCCCAGGGACTGTGTCTTGAGTCCCTGGGGCTAGGGTGGGGCAGGCAGGGTGGCCTTGAGCCCCCAAAGCTGTGGACAGAGGGGGCCCTCACAGCCCCTCCAGGGCCCAGATGCATCCTGCTCTAATTCCTGGCCTTCAGTGCCAGGTGGTGCCAGGCGTGGGGACACGGAGTGGGGCTTTTGGGACACAGCTTAGGATTCCAGGGTGGTGCCCAGGTCCAGCTGTGATGGCCAGGCTGGGCACTTCCTCTCTCTGGCCTCAGCTTCCTCAGCTACAATCCTCTGGCCAACACTGTAGGCTGCCCGTGTCTCCCCTGGCCATAGGAGCTAGTCTCCAGAGACTCTAGGGATCTATGCCACCTACTCCCTCACCCTCTGTGCCACCAGGTCTGCAACTCAACCCACCCTGCCTACCCAGCACTAAGGGGACAAGCCCCATGGGCAGAATCAGGTATAGGAGACAAAGTTCAGTCCTGGCATGCTGTGTAACGTTAGGCCAGCCACTGCCCCTCTCTGGGCCCACATTTCCTTCTCTTTAAAAGCAAAAAGACAGAGGCTTTGTCAGGCCTTGTGGCACAGGCATGCCCTTCCAGCCACTCAGCAGGATGAAGCGGGAGGAATGCTGTGAGTTCAAGGCCAGCCTGGACTTCACTGTGAGACCCTTTCTTAGAACAAAGACTCTGGAGTCCAGTACCACTCTGAACCCCTTCTCTGCTCGGCAGGCGGCTGGTTTTTCCTGTGCTCCATTTCTCACAAGTAAATGAAGACCACACTCATGCCTACTTCACTGGGTCACTTGAACCCTAAATGACTCCATGGGTGAGGCCAAGGTGGTGGAGAGGAGCCCTGTCCCCAAAGCTGTCAGATGTCCCTGGTGGCCAGCAAGGATCTCCACAAGCCGAGGACTGCAGGAAGGTCCAGGAATTGGGGGAGCCCCCCTTTTCCCCCAGCCTGCCTGTACAGGAGTCTCCAGGACAGTGTGCATTTCTCCCAATGGCTGGCATGTCCTGTGACCTGCTTCAGTGTCTCTGGGAGACAGGGTCAGATCCCACAGATTGGGGCCCAGTGCCCCAAATGGTGCCCTCACCTTGGATGCTGGCCACAGCCTGTACTGTTTTACCTCCTTGGGTCCCCCGCATTCCCTCCTGAGGCTTGAAGAGTCCCGGAAACACCCTATCTCCCAGTGTCTGAAAAGGGCATGGAGTAGAGGCAACGGGGCGATGATGCACTGGGCGGAGCAGGGACAGCGCCTCCTGCACCCCTTGGATGTGTGGCGCTCCCGAAGCCCCCAGCGCTGTGCCCAGGGTTCCCAGAGGACCACGTGGCATGGGTGCAGCACTAGGTAACCAGGCGAGGGTGCAGGCCTGGCTGCAGGAGGAGCGGTGGCTACTGTGTGAGGTGTCCAGTAGAGCTGCGGGTTGCTGTGAGGGATGTCAGAGCTCCTGCAACCTCGGGGAAGAGAAATCCCAGTTTCTGTAATGGCCTTGTCAATACCTGGGCATGGTATCACACACCTATATTGGAGGCTGAGGCTGGAGGATTGCTGTGAGTTGGAAGCCACCAGGGGCTACATAGTGATATCTTGTCTCAAACAAAACAAAACAGAAACAAGTTAAAAAGAAAATGCCCAGAACTGGGTGTGGCAGTGCACGCCTATAATCCCAGCTTTGTGGAAAATTGAGGCAGGAGGACTGCAAATAAAGTTCAGGCAGCTGGGGGCATTCAGAGAGAGAACCCATGAAAAGCAAATAAATAAAGCCCAGGCAGTTTAGTGATTCCCTTTCTCCAAGTAAAAAAATTAAAAAAGAGCTGAGAACATAGCTCGGTGAAAAGGCCCTGGCTCCAGTCTCCAGCACGACCACCAAAGAAAGCTCAGAGCAGGGGTGCCCACGGTGCTAGAGCTTGCCTGGTGCGTGTGAGGCCCTGGGCTTGATTGCCGAGCACCGAAAAATCAGGTCAACTGCACAGGAAAACCAAAGAACTGAGCCGTCTACACAGCCTGTCCACCACCCGGAGCACCCTGTACCTCTCTGAAACTCTTCCTTTTGGGGTGCCTTTTGGAATCAGCTGCAAACATCAGTTCCTTTACCTCAGAACAACAGAAAACCGCTACTGGTTTTTTTTTTCTTTTGACATAATTTAACTCAAAATTTGTTTTTTTGTTGCTTTTATTTATTTGTGTGTGTGTGTGTGTGTGTGTGTGTGTGTGTGTGTGTGTGTGTGGCCAGCTCAGCCCACCAGGGGGCGGGGCTGGCTGGCATGTGGTGCTGGGGGATTGAACCGCGGTCTCTGTGCTTTGCTAAGCTTGTTCTAAGTAGGTGCTTTAGACCACTGAGCCATCTCACCAGCCCAACTTTTTTTTTTTTTTTTGGCGCAACCAGGGATTGAACTCAGGCCCTTGCGCTTGCCAGGGAAGCACTTACTCCACTGAGTCATCTCCCCAGCCCCACTTTTTTTTTTTTTTTCAGAAACCAATTTATTCAACCTAAAGAGTCCAGAAAGATGTGCTAGGAACAACAGCCAGTGGCTTGAATACTCAAGTGTGGAAATGAGCCCTTTTTCCAAATATCCCCTGGGGTCATGGTACCTGGACTGCCAGCAGTGAGCTTGGGCTCCTGGGGCCCACTGGTCCTTACTAGGGAAGTGCCTCTGGTATGTGGCGGATGCCTTCACATTTGTTCTCAGGAAGAAATACAGCCCAAGCCAGCTGACACTAGAGGTGGGGAAGGCCCTTCTACAGGCCTTCGCTCCAGGGGAGCTGGAGGAGAAGGAGGCCCAAGAAGCCAACCCTAGAATGATTGGGCTTGCACTCAGGGACTATAAAGGTCCCCAGGGTATGTCATGTGCCTCTCCCTGACTTCAGCCTCAGCTGTGTGTGGCCCTGGGCTAAGAGAAGAGATACCTTGAGCCGAGAGAGGAGAAGGCAGAGAGCACAGCCAGGTGTGGTGGCACACAGTGTAGTCCTAGCACCGAGGAGCCTGAGCAGGAAGACCACTGAGCCCAGAAGTTGGGTGACATGGTATGACAGCATCTTAGAAGGAAAGCAAGACAAGTGAAGAGAAGAAGCAGGCAGCCAGGCGGGTCAGTCCTGCCCTGCTGGGGCCAGGGTGTGGGCTGATAGCTTGGCATGGCCTGAAGACAGGGAGGTTCCTCCAGTGGAGTCCAGCTTAACCTTGTCCAGGATGGTCTTCTTGATGGCGGCGGGTGAGACTGTCTCCTGGTCAGCCATGGCCTGCAGCTCCCATGCATGGGTACAAGAGGCCTCCACAGCATTGAGGAGCAGGGAGTGGAAGCCCCCACTTTCCAGTACGTGCAGTGCGTGGATAGTGGCCCCACCAGGAGAGCAGACATTGTCCTTCAGCTGGCCTGGGTGCTCCTCTGAGTCCAGTAACCTCTTGGCAGCTCCCAGAAGGGCCTGAGCCCCCAGGAGCACTGCTAGGCGCCTTGGAAGTCCCATCTTCACGCCACCATCAGCCAGGGCATCCAGCGCTGTGGACGCACAGGCAGGGCCGCTGCCGCTGAGCCCCGTAACAGCATCAATCAGGTCGTCCTCAACCTCTGTACAGAAGCCCACGCTGCTCAGCAGTTGTTCCAGGAGCCTGGCATCCCCCTCCTGGGCATGGGTGACCCCCTCCCGCACCACAACCGGGGTGTTGGTCATACAGTGGATGACCTTGGGGGCTGCTCGATATGCTGTCAGCTTCTTCTCAATGGAGTTGATAGTGACACCAGCTGCACAGGACACCACAAGGTGCCTGTCATTGGTGTGAGCGCCAGTCTCATCCAGGATGAAGGGAATGATGTGTGGTTTCACGGCCAGGAAGAGCACATCGCTATACTGAACTGTCTCCTTGTTGTGGGGTGTCAGGTTCACCCCTATCTTCCTGAGGGCAGAAACTGTGGCCAGGTCCGTGTCTGGGGAGCTGGCCATTATCTTGTGAGCGGCCAGGACACCTGCTGCTGTGAAGCCCTTGGCCAGGGCAAAGGCCAGCTGGCCAGCCCCGATAAAGCCCACGCTCATGATGTCTGCAGGCCCCATGCCCACGGCCCTCACAGCTGGCAACGGCTCTCTCCGCAAGGGTCAGCTCCAGTCCCAGAGATCCAGGCCCCGGACCTTCCACCCCAGAACCCCCAGTCTGACCCCATCTAAGATACCGAGGTATTGCTTTTTTGTTGCTTTTTGAGACAGGGTCTCACTATGTAGCTCAGGATAACTTCAAATGTGTAGGTATCCTCTTGTCTCCGCCTCCTGAGTGCTGGGATTACAAGAGTCGCACTCCGAGAAAAACATGCAAATCTTTTTTTTTTTTTTTTTTCCGGTGTGAAAAAACATGCAAATCTTTTTTTTTTTTTTTTTTTTTTTTTTTTAGGGAAGGGTCTACAGGGTGCTCAGGGTCTCACTACTAGATCGGACTCGTAGTGATTGTCCTGTTTACAGCCTCCCAAAAGCTGGGATTACAGGTGCGTCCCACCACGCCCATCCTCAATCGCATCTCAGCATCCCGGGGGCGGGCCGGCACGGAAGGCCCTGTGATCAAACCCCCGGCCCCTGAACCTGCTTGTAGGTGCTTTAATCAGCTGAGCTATGTGGCCGGCGCTTGTTCTTTGTATTTCTGAGACACAGCTCAAGCGGGCTTTCTTGAATTCACTGTGCAGCTCAGGCTGACTGAACTCTCAGTGATCTTCCTGCCTCAGCTTCCTGAGTGCTGGGATTACAAGCATGCAGCACCACACCCAGCTTCTGAGCAAATAATTGAAAAAGAAATGCCCAAAAGATAGTGAGACTTCACGTTTACTAAAGGTAGGAAAAGAAGCAGCCTCTGCACGGAAGGAGACCACTGGAAGGGCTTACAACGCCCGTGAGGTTACTGGCAGCTACTTTGTATCCCCGCCCCACTCTGACGTCAGGCTTTGGCTGTCCTATCAAAATCCTGCTTGATCTCACACCAGATGACTTAAAGATAGCACTTTCTGATTGGTCCCAGTGTCCTGGGTCTCTGCGGTGACTGGCCATGCCTACTTTCTCAGCCAAATGGCCATGGTATAATAAAAACCCGAGTGAAGATATGGATCATGAATATGTTCTTCTCTGTCCTGTGTCAAGCTGATCTCCTTTCTAAGAATTTTTTGGGAGAGTCCTGGAGGTCCCAAGAGTGGATCCATGTTGGCCCATTTCCCTCTGAGCTCTGGCTGCTTGGAAATTCTTAGATCCGACTGGCCTGTTCCTGCAGGCACCGGAACAGAGTTATGAGCTTTGGAGTCTCGCCTTACCCTCTCTTCTCTCTGATTCGCTTTTCTGTTGTTTTAAAATCCTCCTGAATCCATATCCAGCCCTGCGCGCTGGCCCTCAGACCCTGTTTTGGAACGAGCCTGATGGAGCACTACGTAAAGAAATAATCACGTTGGAATTTCCAGGACATTTCCATGATCTGGGGTCCAAAAATGTGAAATTGGGGCTGTTCCAGCACATCTGGAATGAACTGACACCCTGTCCACACAGTAAAGACCTGTGTGGACAGTATGCTGGTGCGCGTGCACGCACACACACGCACACGCGCGTATACATATGCATGCACAAAGAATGCCTGTCTTGGTCCAGACGCTAATAGGCAGCAAAACCACCAGTTCCACGTGGAGAGTGGCACTCCACACAGCCTGGTGCCCCGGATCCACAGACCCAGCCTGGGAGGACACGGTGGCTTGAGCAGAGGCTTTGTCAGGTGCCAGTGGTGACCGTGATAATGATGAGGGAGCCAGCACGTCCTACTCTGAGCTCACCTGCTGTAGGCTCCACCATTGTCTACCCTTCTCACCTGAGCTGTGGGTGCGGCGTCCCCAAGTCAGGTGCCTAAGACTCCAGTCCAGCTTTGGGTTTCTACTCAGAAGGATGAGGATGAGGATGAGGAAATGGAGAAGGGGAAAGGTCTCAACCAAAGGAGAAAAGTCCAGGTATGACATCTCACACCTGTAATCCCAATACTCAGGAGACTGAAGAGGGAGGATTGAAAGTTCAAGGCCAGGCTGGGGATAGAGCTCAATGGTAGAGCACTTGCCTGGCATGTGGGAGGCCCTGGGCTCTATCTCCAGTCCTGCAGTCCTAGAGGATGGGTGGAGACCCTCCTGCCTCAGCCTTCTGAGCACTGGGATCACAGGCTTGTGCCACCACGCCCAGCAGAGGCCCACCTATAATGAGCCACTTGCCCATAGACTGGAACCACCAGAATCGTGAGCCAAAATACCCCTTCTTTTTATTTGTCCTGGTGACAGATGAGCGACACAGGTATTCTCAGGTCAAGGTCCCGCAGAGATTCGCACAGGGCTAGGGTGAGGTGACCCAGGTCCTCTGTCTCACAGGATGTGTCCTGGGCGCAGTTTCCTGGTGCTCTTTGCCTGAAGCAAACATCTGGCAGAGCCTCAGGCCCTCCTGCAACCCACGACCCAAAAGCATGCTCCATTTCAGGCAAAACAGGCCCTTTGGGCTCTGCCTTTCTCCCCTGGCTCTGTAGCCCAGCTGCTGCTGTGAACCTGGAACTGTTGTTAGTGTCACCAGGGGAACCACCCTCAGCTAGTGCAGGCTTCATTTTTTAAAATTTTTAAAAAAGTTTTTGGCAGTGCCGGGGATTGAACTCAGGACCCTGTGCTTGCCAGGCAGGCGCTTTTTCTACTGAGCTATCTCACCAGCCCTTATTTTATCTTATGTATGTGGTCCAGGCTCTCACTATGCAGCTCTGATTCATAGTGATCCTGCTGTTTCAGCTTCCCCAGCTCTGGGATTACAGGTATGTGTCACCACTCCTGGCCTTGGTGACGCTTGGCATGCCTGGGGCAGGGCCAGCATGGCATGTGATACTGGGGATCAAACCTGGGTCCTTGTGCTTGCCTAGGCAGGTGCTTAGACTGGTGAGCTATCTCCATGGCCCTTTTTTGTCCTTTTGAGACAGGGCTTCTCTGCACAGTTCAGGCTGGCCTTCAGCTCACTTTGTCACCTAGGCTGGTCTCAAATTTGCAATGTTCCTCCTGCCAAGTGCTGGCATTACAAACGCGGGTCACCATATCCAACAGAAGACTGCTATTTTTTTTTCATTATTTATTTATTTATTTGTTGTATTTTAGGGAAAGGTCTGCAGGGTGTTCAGGGTCTCACTACTAGATCAGATTCAGAGTGATTCTCCTTATTTCAGCCTTCCAAGTGCTGGGATTACAGGTGCGCACCACCACGCCCAGTCTCAATTGCAGTCTCAGTGCGCCCTGGGGGTGGGGCCAGCACAATAGGCCCAGGGATCGAATCCCCGGTCCCTGAGCCTGCTTGCAGGCACTTTAATCCGCTGAGCTATTTGGCAGGCCCTTAAGACTTTTTTTTTTCCCCCTTTGCTTTTTGCGTCAGGGTCTCAGTATGCAGTTCAGGCTGGCCTTGGACTTCAAAGCATCCTCTTGCCTCCGTCTACCCGAGTTCGGGGATTACAAGGATGCACCACCATGTCTGGTGTAAAGAGGCTGTTTTAACAGACTTTTTAAAAATTAATTATTATTTTTTGCAGTACTGGGGCTCGGGCTGAGGACCTTATGCTTGCCAGGCAGGTGCTTATGCCACTGAGCTATCTTCCCGGTCCTTAAAGGGCTGTTTTGTTTTGTTGGGTTTTTTTTCCATAATTTTATTGAGAAACAAATAGCAATGAGGCAGTTTCAAATCAAATTGGTAGGACAGTTTCAATAACTAACACGTTGCATAAAGGGCTGTTTGAAGGCCACTTTCTATCGCTTCAATGTTGGCGCCAGGTGCACACCCTGTGTGGGGCTGGAGAGGGCTGGGATTGGTGCAGAGACTGGGGGTCAGACTGCAGCGCAAAACTCCCTTCTTGATCGCGAAGTGGCAGCACTGCAGTTAAACCTGAATACTGGGTTTCAGTATAGAAGAAACAACTCCTACGTGTACATCTTTTGTCTTAAAACACAGTAACAGCCCCGGGTGTGGTGGCTCACGCCTGTAACACCAGCATTCAGAAGCCTGAGGCAGGAGGATCGTTGCGAGTGCGAGACGAGTCCGGGCTACAAAGTGAGCTTAAGGCCAGCCTGAATTGCATAGTGAGACCCTGTCTCAAAAAGACAGCAAAACACAAGAACAAACTGAAAACAAACCCCCACAATAACACGTGCGCCCGCGGGCTTCCCGCTGCACTTGGCCGAGCCGCCTCTAGGGGGCGCGCACGCCCCGCCCGAGCCCTGGTGCTGCCGGGATGATGCCCTTCGGTTCCTCGGGGCGGGATGCTTGCTACCTTTAGGCGTCCAGGCCAGGAGACACCGTCCATCGCCTCAGCTTGCCACACAGCAGGTCCCCGGGACACGCTGATGGAACAAGAAGTGGGCGCCATTCTGCTGAGAGAAATAAGCCCCTGCCTGGTAAGTGCAAGGCCCTGAGTTTGATCCCTGGTACCACAAAGGAAAAAAGGCAGGGGGGGGGAGACAACAAGGCAAAATCTAGAACAAAAAGAATATAAGGTTCAGAGACTGACCTCTGCCGGGCTGGAGGAAGGCCAGGCTTGGCTTGGGGGCAGTGGGGTGTGGTGGTGAGAAGCCCTTCTAGCCCCAGGGGGTTCCCCCATCTCTTGGGCTTCAGTTTCCCTAAGTGCAACATGCGCTGGAGGCAGATGCAGCCAAGTGTGGTGGCACATACCTAATGCCAGCCCTGGGGGCATGGGAGAAATGCTTGTAAGTCGAAGGCTGGGAGGGGGAGGGTGCCCCTGGCCTGCTCTGCTTGCTTTTAAGGCCAGGAATGAGGTGCACAGAAGGGTTTCTCCTTCCCCACCCCTCGGCCCACCCCCTGACTGTGGTAGGAGCCACAGCTATTTCAGCCCTCAGCAAGAGCTGATCAAATGTTGTGCAGCCCTGTGGATCAGCTTGACCTCTCTGAGCCTCAGTTTCACTCTGTGTGTCATTGGCTCTGCGTGGCCTCACATTTCATGCAGTGACCACAGGTGGCTCTGAGATGTAATGGTCATTCCTCCTTGCTGTATGGGCCACTCTGCCCAGGACCAGACTGTGTCCAGGGTGCCCTGGGCTCCCAGTACAGATCCTGGATGCCC